GCTACTGTACACATTTGCATATATAGGAATGATTTGACCTTTTCTTTTCTACAATCGATCATATATATATATATATATATATATATATATATAGGGAAGAGATTATAGTTGTTCCAACGAAAGAAAAGTGTATATTTTTAAATTATGGAAGATAATCAATTTATTATGGCAAAATTATGGAAAATAAAATATATTTAAAAAATAAAAATACATTATAATCGAAAACGTTTGCGGTTTTTTTCTGTAAAATTTTTTTATAATATATATATATATATATATATATATATATATATATATATATATATATATATATATATCAGGTATATGTTTGCGACTGAGATATACTGTTTTTGATAAATGGGCCGGGCTTAGAAATTTTTAAAATCATTTCTTCATATATATATATATATATATATATATATATATATATATGTATGTATGTATGTATATATGAGAAAAATCACATCACGACAAGTATTAATTATGGGCATATATTAAGATATGTTCTAAAAAAAAATGTCTTCTATTTTCGTGTAAGCGACAATTTCACTTTTGATTTAATTTCCGGACGAAATCCAACCAAAATTTCCCTCAGCGGCAAGGGGATTGACATTCAGACTATAATACAAAGTACTAGATAGCTCAATATGGCAACGTTGCTAAGAAATATGCTACAGGAATCCAGTGATCATCTGACCTTCGTTAATGCAATAATAACAACAAATAATAATAATCATAATAATGAATTAAAAAGAATAATCACGAAGAAGACAACACAGTGAAGGTCACACCGATAATCAATGGAGCACTGGGAAATTCCTAATGACCTTCGTCTAGGTATTGGACATATGTAAAATCTTGCTTTAACCTGATCTAAAAAACGAACATCACAAATGTCTACTATAATAATAATAATAATAATAATAATAGAACCTTATCGACGAATGTAAGTAATCATGAACTTTGAGAAGTGTTGCCTACAATTAATGGAGCACCGGGAATCGCTGATTTTTAAAAAAAAATGGGCGCGAACATATGAGCATATATTCAATAATAAATTACGATGTTGCGAAATAAGGCTGATGTTAACGGAAAGTTTGTATTGGAGAACTGACGCTACATAATCTTCAGCACGGGAATTTGATTATGGACACGCACACAGACACTATCATATACATATATATATATATATATATATATATATATATATATAAAGAAAGGGAGTCGGTAAAAGAAAAAAAGGTCTCTTCTCGAGCCAGGTCTGTCTGTCTCAAAGCCTGATGGAAAAACATTACATTTTATAAAAATCCCCTCCATATATATATATATATATATATATATATATATATATATATATATATATATATAGTTATGATTTTAAGCGGCAACCCCTCTCTAATGCAAGTTTCATTAAAATGCGTGACAAATTACTTCCGCACGCTTGGATATATACACATACAGACGCACATATATGCATGTATGCGTGTATTTATTTGTGTCTACGTATATATACACATATACATGTAATTGTCTTTACATATATTATACGTAGTTTTATATATATATATATATATATATATATGTGTGTGTGTGTGTGTGTGTGTGTTTGTTTGTGTGTGTGTGTGTGTGTGTGTGTGTATGTTTGTGTTCGTGCGTCCGTGTTTGTTTCCGAAATATTTAAAAAAAATGGTACGCAGGTTCGAACCTTGCCCAAGAGCACATTTTCTTGATTACCATTTCTCGACTGAGCACGGAAAACAGACGTCATGCCCATAGTTTAAAAAAAAAAAATCAGGGTCGTCTGTTGCAAAACACGAGTATCCACTAAAAAATAACATTTGATATATATATATATATATATATATATATATATATATATATATATATATATATATATATATATCTGTGTGTATATATACATGGAATTGCGTATTTGGCAGCAATATATTGTCTGATACATGCATCATTAAGAATGACAGACATATATATGTGTGTGTGTGTGTGTTTGTGTGTGGTTAAATATAATTGATATATGCTGTATTTATGCTTGAGATACCATCCTAACCTTATATATATATATATATATATATATATATGTGTGTGTGTGTGTTTGTGTGTGTGTGTATGGTTAAATATAGTTGCTATATGCTGTATTTATGCTTGAGGTACCATCCTAACCTTATATATATATATATATATGTATTTGTGTGTGTGTGTGTCTGTGTGTGTCTGTGTGTGTGTGTATGTATATATTTATGTATGTAAGTATGTATGTATGTATATGTGTTTGTGTGCAGATCTGGTCTCGACCATGGAAGGATCCCTGAATAATTTGGTGATTTGGTCAGAGAGCGGGTACTTGGGCCGAGAACTTTTTTAACATCCCTTTTGTACACGATACATTTCTCCTCACACACACACACACACACACATTAACATGAAACACACATATATATATATATATATATAGTGTCTATTCACTCACGAACGTTTTCCTTGTTAACAGATAGATTGCAATTTTCATAAATTTGATAATTTTTTTATCAATGCCGTATAAATGTCATTCTGTAAATATGAATGTTTATGTTAATATATATATATATATATATATATGATGAAAATATGTTCAAAGGTTGTACTGTCTGAAGTGTTTCCTTGCATCTTGTAAAGTATGTTTACCTCCAGATGCACGTTCATATATATATATATATATATATATATATATATATATATATATATATATACGTGTGTGCCTGAATTGAGACAATGTCAGTGACGATGATATCGGTTGATATGTCGGTGGCGATTGTCCAAGCTTTCCCGCCTACTCGTCTTCGCCCGACCTGACCACAACCTGTTTTTTTTTTTTTGTTTTTTTTTTTTTTTTGAAATCAAGGAAATGTCAGACATTTTCAAAGCGAAAAATGAAAAGAAATATTAATAATATATCAACTGAACATAAACAAACAGACAAAACGGAAGCCAACGTGCAACGTGGACGAGAAAACTTTAGCTTTTTTGTTTGTTTTTTTTTTGTTTTTAGTGAAATGACGACGAAGCAAGATCAATTCTCATCAAAATTTCAACTTACCTATCGAAATCACCGTAAACATACGCTGATGGAAAACCATGACCATTCAAGATATCAACAGTGTTAAAATAGTATAATAGGTATATATATATATATATATATATATATATATATATATATATATATATATATATATATATATATCCTCAAACTTTTTTTCGCGTTAGTCACGTGTGTGTGTTCAAATGAGAGCCAACGTTAGAATGACAGTGGAAGCAAGCAACAGAGAAATATTATGGATAGATGTGAGAATTTAAGTGCATATGCGTGCATTCACTCCAATAAATGTATATATATATATATATATATATGCATATATATGTAATATTATAACCTCAGTTTCAAAATATATGTAAAATGTCTCTCTCCGCTATAGAATAAAACCAGCTAAGTAGTTGATGTATGTATACATATATATATATAATATATATATATAAATAGATAGATAGGTAGATAATTAAGGTAAGAGCACTTTCTAATTGTCGAATGACGCTAACAAATCTCACTGGGCAATTTCCGTGTAAAAGACGATAGAAAGAGGAGAGGTCCTTGGAAAGCGAAATCTGTTTGCAACTGCTGTGTATTCTTAGACAGGCCAATGCTATTAAAACGGTGGCAGTAACTTAAAAGTGGAAAGACAGAGGCTACGTTTGGTAGCAGAAGTACGCACAGCGCTCTTCCCAGTAGCAGTAGTAGTGACAATAATAATAATATTAATGGTGCTGTATCAAAGGCACTGCTGCTAACATTGTCGACAACAAGAAAAAAAAGGGATCTCCGTTAGCCCCCGTCGAGCACATGTTTGTCGCTTCGCCCTGGTTCCAGAAATCAGCTAGGGCAGCCGCTGTGAGCTAGGGAGTGAGTGTTAGAGTTCTAAACTCGTAAGCGAGTTCCTTTCCCCACAGGCTGCGCGGCGAGAATTGGCCGAGGATGTGCGAGTACCCCTCGCGGTTATCAACTCGCAAAGTGGTACCACCAGGCCGAGTTCAGATCCCATCGAAAAATTCTCAGCCCGATTTTCAGTTTATCGATCCGTTTTGTACGGCTTATCGACACTTTGCGGGGTTTTTTTTTTTTTTTTTGTTTTTTTTTATTATTATAATTCTCTCCCAAGCAAGGCAATACAGTCACTAAGACACAAGTATGAAAGAATTAGAAAAAAGAAAAAAGAGAAACCTTATTAAGGAGCGAGGACAAGTAAATAAGAAGAGACTGATATTGCATTTAACTTTTTTGAAGATCGAAGTTGGCTAGAAAGCAAAAAACCGGAAGAGAGTTCCACAAGCAAGAAGTGCGAGAGAAGAAACTGTTAGCATAGAACTTACGGCTACTTCTAGCGAATTCAAACGTAAATAGATGAGACCTTGCCGCCAATCTAATACTGCACTTAAATTCATAAAGTCTAGGTACCAGAGAGGAAAGTTCATCAGAACAATTACCATGAAAGTATTTTGTAGAAAAGACACAGGAGAGCTATGTTATGGCGGTGGGAAAGGGACTAAAACCGAGATGCCAGGTCAGGACCATTAATATTGCTGATTTTTATTTTTATTTTTATTTTTTTAGATTTTTATCAACAATCTCTAAATATACCAAAGGACACCAGACCATATTTGGGTGCAATATTCAAAGCATGGATGAATGATTGATTTATAAATATGTAAATAAATAGATTCCGGAGATAAAAAGTGTCTATCACGATACATGAACCAACTTTTAAGCCATAAAATATTTTTAGATTGTAGGAATTTTTTTTTTTTTTTTTAGATAATAATGATTTTAGCGATAAAAGTCTTGCTAATTAATCCATAGCTGGAGGGAGTAGAGGTGGATCCATACCTTAACCAACTAGAATTGGGAGTCGGCTCTCCGATTGACAATCCCGAACCATTATTAATTATACCACCAGCTTACAGCATCCAGTATTCCCAAGCGGTCACCCATCTAGGTATTGACCAGGCTCAACGTTGCTTAACTTCGCAGATCGTACGGGAACCGGTGATTCAGCGCTATATGGCCGGTTCCAACGTTTGTTCTAAAAAAAAAAAAAAACTTTCTGATGTTTGATTATTTGATTTGATCTGATTTTTAGGCAGTGGTAAGACTGAAATATGGCCGCCTATGGTGGATTTTCCTCCGTCGAGTGCCAAAGAGACCACCTCTGGAACTCAAACTTTACAAAGGATTTGATTCGGGTGGCAGAGGTTTGTGGAACACCAGCCACAATTTTCAAAAGAAGAGATAAGGGAGAAATGGTACATGGTTTGCCAAGAGGTCTCCGAACAGCCCTATAATGGCCGGGTGTAGATTTAGACTTTTCCTCTCCTAGACTAGCTGCCAACATAAATTTTAAATATATAAATATATATATATATATATATATATATATATATATATATATATATATATATATATATTCATGAATTATTCATACAAAAAACAAATACAAAGGTTAATGATTTAATTGGCGAGAAATCCATCGTCGCAAACAATTCAAATAATAAACAAAACCTCCGAACCCGTTATGAATGAAAAAATCCTTGTTTCTATAAATTTATGTTGCATTAGTTTCTTACCTGAAGATGTCTGTAGGAACAGACGAAAGCTTGTAGTAAAATAAGAACTAATGCAACAGAAATTTATAAAACAAGGATCTTTTCATTCATAACAGGTTCGGGGTTTTTGTATATTATTTGAATTGTTTGCGACGATGGATTTCTCGCCAATTAAATCATTAACCTTTGCATTTGTTTTTGTATGAATAATTCATGAATTTGTAAATATATATACGTTTATATAAATATATATATATATATATATATATATATATATATATATATATATATATATATATAAGTTCAACAATTATTTCAATATATTTTATGTCTATACGTTCTTTTATAGGTACAAATATTTAAGTAAATGCTGTGTTTATAATAAACTGTATTAACAACATTTACGGCCTGAATGTCCGTTAAATTTTATAGAAATATGTATCATCCGACAGGAATCGAACCTGTATCCTACACGGTACGGTCATATAGCCTGACGTGCTATACCATTTCGCTACAGGGGAAGCGTCTGGTTGTTAAGGTCAAATTACTGCTTTTAAACTACAAATTCTCCATGATTTCTCTCGAATGCTCATCTCTGCTCGAAGCGTATCTTAACGTAAACAAATGACATAATATATTATGAAATGGACTGAGTCCGACAATTATTTTAATATATTTTATTTTTACAATAATGAAATTTCTTTTTCATGCACATTTCATTTAAAAAGATATATATATATATATATATATATATATATATATATATATATATATATATATATATATATATATATACATAAAGGTTGTAGTGGTTCCAACGAGAGAAAAGTATGTATATTAAAAAGAAGAGAAAAGAGGTGCATTAAAACATTTTTGGTTGTAATGTGGATTTTTTTTTTTTTAAATATTATGCTTTATTTTCCATAATTTTACTACACGTGTTTCTGGTCTATTGACCGTCTTTCAGGTAAAAGCGGAGATTTCCACATATTATTAAAAAATAATTAATTTTTTTCTTTATATTTTTCAATGTTAAATATTCTCGATATGAGACATTCTCTTTTTTGTGTTAGTAATCCGAATGTCTTTCTTGAATTGAAATCGACATCTTCTGATACCTTGATCTTGTTCGCCCGTCCTTTCTCTGTATACTTTCCTCAAACACGCCTCTTTACACTTGGTCCCAATCCTCTGTAACCCCTTCAAATATTCAATTTTTATTTTTTTTTGACATTACACTTGAATATTTGAAGATTAGAGTTATCATCAAGCAAGAGAAGGGGGGGTTCCATAGACGGCAAGTGCGAAACTCTTTGATTAGAAGAGACGGTTACATTTAACGTGTTGACCGCAGTGTCCACTTCTAAAATTTACATACGCTCTATCCCTGGTATTTTGCACGTTTACGCATAAGAATAACATACTGTAAAACTATATTTTACAAAATATATATATATATATATATATATATATGAAGAAAAATATATAAAAAAACAAAAAAAAATGAATATGCAATTATGTAGTATGTTAAATAAATTTCGACGTCGGACGTTTTATATCTATTTAAGACCATCTTCATGGACATTTTCATTTAAACATAATTAACATTAGAACTTATAAAATTTAACACAAAAGACGATGGACATAAGAGCCCAACTAATTGACGTCGACTTTATATTAACATTAATACTACATAATTGCATATTCAGATTTTTGTTTTTTTTTCTGTATTTTTTTTAATACTGTCGGATCTATATCCATATATTTTTTTATATATATATATATATATATATATATATATATATATATAACAGATGACAGAATTGAATAGACACCAAGATAAATTTTATTTCTGTTTTTTTTTTAATAACCAAGATAAATTAATGTTAGATTATTTGATTATTTGATCCACGTTGCAAGGCCTCTGACATAGCAACGCAAGTTGATGTCAGTCCCAGAACAGCTATCATGTATCTTCACAAGCTGGGCTACTATGGCAGAGTTGCGAGAAGGAAACCACTTCTCCGGCCAGCCAATATCAAACGCAAAATGATTGGGCTCTTGAGATGGTGGAGGGACCTGTGATTTTTTTGGACCACTGTCATTTTCCCTGATGAGATTCAAGATTCGCATTATTTTCCGAGTGGAAGAGTATGGGTATGGAGACTCGGTAGTCAAGAGTTTGATTTAAAAAAGACTGCAGCCAACGGTAGAAAACATGGGTGCCGTTCAGTATAATGGTATGGGGTGCAATTTGGAGTGATGGTCACTCAGATTTTGTGGAGTTGAAGGAAACATTAATTCAACCAAATATGTTTATATATTAAATAAATATTTCCTATTCAATATTCTCAAGTCGTAGAATGAGCAAAATTGACTTTTATTTATGAAAGATAGAGCTCCATGTCACAATTTTTCAAAAACGCAACATTGGTTTGAGACAAAATGGGATCAATAATTTTCCATGGCCAAGTCAGTCCCCGGATATTAACCCTATTGAACACTCTGCAAAAAGAACAGGAAGCCATCTTCTAAGTCCAAACATTTAGGATTATTGCGTCAAACATGGCAAGAAATCCCTCAAGATGATATTCGTGAACTCATCGCTAGCATGCCTGGAAGGGTCCTTGCATTAAAAAAAAATGCAAAAGGGATGTCAACCAAGTATTAGTTATTAAATTTATGACCATTTACAATTACTTTTTTTGTATAAATTACTTGTTTAATAAAATAAACGGTTTCTATGAGCGTCTATTCAATTTGTCATGTCATCAATATATATATATATATATATATATATATATATATATATATATATATATATATATATGGGAGATTCAAGAAGCGAGAGCAAGATCTAAAAGGTCAGCCAATCTAACAGTGAAAACGAGATGCCAGCCTGGTAGCTCGCTTAAATCCATGCAAGTCTGGGAACCAGCGAAAGTAGCCCGTCGGAACAGTTGCCGTGGAAATGCTTGTAGAAGAGACAGAGGGAAGCCACGGCACGTGTGTGAGAATGCGACCGTAGACGAGATGCCAGATCAGAACCTATCGTATTGCATATTCTGGATTTTGTCGAGCACCTCGAGACGTACATCGGGGGCACCAGACCATATATGGCACCAGTAATACATTCACTTCTATGTACAGTTGTAGTTTTTTTAATTTGTTTATTGTTTACTTAATACGCTTATTTATTTAGATATTTTGTTTATTTTTTCGGGGGCGGGGGGGGCTGTAGAATAATTTGGAATATAACGGTCTACCAAGTAACCGTTAGGATAATACAATAGACCTTCCTACAAATACATTCTTGGTCAGCATATATAAATAGTCGAGACAAAAACACAACAGACATGGTTTGAAGATCCCGTTAAAGCGTAAGGCAGACTCTCTTCGCTTGCTGTTGACTCCAGTGTTTACTTTTATAAATATGCAAAAATTTGCCTTTTCTCTACCGGGTTTTAGAGCCTAGGGGTTATAATCTCCGCCCGATGAAAATCGGTCGGGTTTCGAAAATTGAATTGAAGCGGTCGCATGTATAGCCACATTAAATTTTATAAAATACAGCAAGAAACAGTCTATAATTGGATGAATTAAATAAGCTCCCGGAAAAAAAAAATTCGGTCGAGCAATTGTGGGGAGAAAGCGAAATTTTAAACTGAATATTCTGTTGCTAATAATTCAAGACTCCCCCAACCGATTGAGTTCTCTAGTTCACTGGCATGTTTATGAAAAAATAAATACGCAAAAATTTGCCTTACTCTCTACCGACTAGAATCTCCGACTGATGCCAAATCGGTTGGGTTTCAGTCCTGGCTTGAAGCGGTGTTTGGGAACCACACTGATGATTGTGATACAGCGAAAGAATCTATCTGTAGATTAAATATTTATATATATATATATATATATATATATATATATATATATATGGATGACGATATAAGCTCTCGGAAAAAAAAATAATTCGGTCGAGCAAAAAAATAAGAGAAAAAGCGCGAATTTTAAAACTGTGAATATTACAATTTAATAATGCAAGATATTACAACCGTCACTGGCGTATTTATGAAAAAAATAAATATAGAAAAATTTGCCTTTTCTGTATACCAACTAAAATCTCCGACTGATAAACCAAATCGTTGGGTTTCGGTCCCGTAATATCGAAGCATGTCTAGCCACACTGATGTAATAAGAAACAAAGAAAAAAAAACAGTCTGTCTGTAGATAAATATATATATATATATATATATATATATAGTTATATATATATATATATATATATATATATATATATATATATATATATATATATATATATATATATATATGTATATATATTTGTCAAAAGTCAATATACCACATAGCACCCTCGAGCGGTTAGCCTTGGAGCGAGTAGAATGGAGATCAACGTGTTTTAGTGGACTCAGCAATTTTCAATCTGCTTGTCTGAATCATCTTCAAGAAG